GAGGAGAGGACAAGCAAAACATGACAAAAACTAATAGCCATGCAACACCTGCAGCCTCTAAGCATACATTATTCTGAACAACTATGGGACAGGAAATCTGGTGCACAACAAAATCAATAAACAAGAACGGACATAAAATGACGGTAACAAAAATAATTCGGTAGTAAATAAAAATTAGTCTTATTAGTTAAACAAATCATATGTATGTGGTGAGTGAGCCCTGAGTCACCAACCTTGTGCTTAGAAGCTGTGCTGTCTTGTTTCATCAATACTGTCATCAACGTACTTTCTCTGAAGGTGAAAATTTCTTATATGTAATTGTTATGAAGGCAAAAATCCAAATAAATTCACATAAATCTAGATCATTTTGATTTGGATGAATGTCCATTTACATTATATAATGAAACTGAAAAGGCTTAACATGAAGTTAGGATAACATTTCTTAGCTTAGAAAAAATACTGACTTATTTCATAGTCCTGCACAACCCCACCAATATAAAAGTAATTATATATTAATGGTACACAAATAACCCACACATAAAAGAGAGAAGCTTACGACGACGTTTCGGTCCGACTTGGGCCATTGACAAAGTCACACTAACCAGAGGTTAGTAATCTTCCTGACTTGTCCACTTTTCGTGGTGCTCTCCTTCCTGCTCTTGTTAGTCTGTTTTCTAAGAATCACCACCTTCCACGCCGTTACCAACTTGCCCTTTCTTCTCTTAAATCCAACACTAACATTGTCATACTATCTTCTGACAAAGGTAATTCGGTAGTTATCCTTGATCGCGAGGATTACCTCCATAAAGCTGATGTCTTGCTCTCTGACTCACGCACCTACACTCCTCTAGTTTCCAACCCTCTTGATCGCATCAAGAGAACTTTCAACAAAAAACTAAGGGCTCTCTCGACCTCTGTCTCCTGACTTTGACCTTGTTCAACGGTTTCGTGTCATCTGTCCCTCTCTTCCCTATTTCTATGGCCTTCCCAAAACTCATAAACCTGATATTCCTCTTCGTCCTATCATATCCTCCAGAGGTTCTGTTCTCTTATTCTCTTGCTTCTTGGCTGGCCAAAACCCTCACTCCCTTTCTGGGTACTTTTTCTCCTGCCCACCTCCGTCACTCTCAAGACTTCATTGAACGGGTTCGCTCTCTCCCAACCTTGACGTTGAGTCCCTCTTCACCAATGTCCCTCTTGATGATGTCCTTGATTTCCTTAGAGAGAAGGCCCATGAAGGGTTTCTTCATTCCCTATCCCCACTGATGTCTTTCTTGATCTGATCCGCCTCTGTGTGGAACTAACTCCTTTTCCTTCCAAAGGGAAATATTATTCTCAAACCTTCGGTGTCGCTATGGGCTCTCCCTCTCTCTCCTGTCCTTGCTAATCTTTACATGGAATACTTCGAGACTGTTCTTTTCCTTTCCCTCGATGTGCACCTTCACTCTGGCTCCGCTATGTGGGTGACATCTTTGCTCTGTGGCCTCATGACTCCAGTCTCTTTCCAACCTTTTCTTGAAGCTCTTAATAATCTTGCCCCTTCCATTAAGTTTAAAGCTGAATGGGAATCTAATTCCTTGCTTCCTTTCCCTTTATGTCCATGTCCACCGCTCAGATACAGTTTTCCTTTTTCCGTTTTTCCGAAACCTATGCACAGTGGCATGTACATTCATACTTTTTCCTATCATGCTTCCCCTGTCAAGAAAAGTGTTCTTATCTCCCTCTTTCTCCATGCCCTCTGCATCTGTGATCCTCAGTTCCTTCCAGCAGAAATTTCCACTCTTCATAATTCGTTCTCCCGTCTTGGCTACCCTTCCCATTTCATAGACTCTGCCCTCTCACGTGCTAAACGCAATTTCTTCTCTCCCAAACTCTCTACTTATGAGAATTCTTCTATCCTCTGCCTTCCCTACATTTCCGGTCTTTCTAATCTCAACAATTCTTTCCGTCCCTTAGACATCAAGCTTACCTTCCGCCAGACTAACACTCTTCGCACTAATCTCGTTTATACCTCTCCTCCTCTACAGATTTCCTGGTTTCTACTCTTTTCTTGCTCCTCCTGTCCTCTTCAATACTTCGGAGAAACTGGTCGATCTCTTTCTGACAGACTTAGGGGCACAAAAATAGTGTTAGGCTTGGGCCCACACTAACAATGCTCTTTTCTGTCACGTCAGAGATCATAGCCATCCTATTGATGGTCTTCTGCTAAACTGTCTTCCCTACTTCCAACTCGAACAGTGGCCGTCTAGTTGAATCCTCTCTAATACACAACTTTCCTCGTATGAACCTTAGCCCTGGCTTCGTCTCTGTAGATGCCTTCCTCTCCCACTACATTGTAAAAAGCTCCAAACTTCAGAAAAACCCGTGACTTAACCTGATTCCTCATTTTTTTTTTTTTTTCTTTTTCTTTTTCTTCTTCTTTCCTCTTCCCCCTTTTCCCCTTTCCTTTTTTCCTCTGGGTTGTCTTTCTCTCTTCCCCGTTCGTGTTTCTGTTCCTTCTTCATTTATTTCACCAAATTCCCTTTCCCCGCACCTCTGTGCGCTTGCTCTCCCTCTGGGCATCTATGCTCTCTTGCAGTGCTCCACTTCCTTTGTATTTGATGGCTCTCCTTTTTATTTCCCACTTCACCACTTCCACTACTACTACCTCTTCTTCTTCTACTACTACTACAACTACTGATGAAATTAAGACACATGTGGGGGCGTCTGGTTGTCTTTGTTGTGGACTTTCCCATCCAGTGGTGGCTGGATGGCGAACGTCTATGATGGGATGCCCCGGGGGTTGTGCATGTGTCTTAATTTCATCTTGTCGGTATTATATACAACTCTTGTACTACTACTACCACCTCTTCCTGCCTATATATAGCCATCCTGCTCCACCTCTGGTTAGTGTGACTTTGTCAATGGTCCAAGTCGGACCGAAATGTCGTCGTAAGCTTCTCTCTTTTATGTGCGGGTTATTTGTGTATTGTTCCAGTCACGGTATTGGGCCTTTTTTGTTATTTATATTAATGGAATACAAAACTGACAACACTTGGGTATCATCAGCATGGAGATGCTTTGCCAGTCAGTGGCTTTATTAACTGAATCACTGATACGATCAGTCCCTCAGCTTGAAAAGAGGTGTTCAGTTCATCAGCCTTGATGATCTAATGGACTGAACACCACTTTGTATCAACACTGAGGGACTGATCACCTTATGTTACTGCTTTACATTTTCCAGTCTTCAGTATTATTCTCTGTACTGGACTGACAAAGTCACTGCTTGGGAAAATATCTTCACAATAAAGATGACCAAGTATTGCACATGTCTTATTTACAGTGGACCCCGGTTAACGATATTTTTTCATTCCAGAAGTATGTTCAGGTGCCAGTACTGACCGAATTTGTTTCCATAAGGAATATTGTGAAGTAGGTTAGTCCATTTCAGACCCCCAAACATACGCATACGAACGCACTTACATAAATACACTTACATAATTGGTCGCATTAGGAGGTGATCGTTAAGCGGGGGTCCACTGTGTTTACAAAACTAACAGCATTTTATTAATAATTAACTTCTTACTAATTGATTGAACTTGTGGCAAGCGAGTCATAAAACTCCAGGCCATGAGTTCAATCCCCACCCGTGGTATGGTTTCTTTGCAATCGTGTCATTATAATTTCATGAGTCAGTTATTAATGATTACATTTCAAATTAATAGAGAAGTGTTAACACACACCGCCTACACCACCAAACAATTTATTTACATCACTTTACTTCCAAACATATCTGCTAGTCTTATTTTAAACATGAATACATGACTGAACTTATTTTAACTCATATTTTCAGCCTGATCCTAAATGTTCCCCTTTTCTTACCAACAATAATATTAAGTGTGTTGTCACAGACCTCTGTAATACACTTCACTTGCATGTAGTTTATGTACAGTCTACAGAGAATAATTTGTAAGATAGAGCTTCAAACTTATTTAAAACTCTATGTTCTATTGTAGGCAGTTTCAGCAGTGTTACAAGTATAAAAGACAAAACATATATACAAACTAAAAGTTTAGAACAGTTAATCCACAGTGGTAGTATCATGAGGCTAAATTCTAAATGAACCTGTCCAATTTGAAAACAAATAAATGAAACCACGAAGATATGGCTACCTTGCCTTTTACTGGGCTGTTAAGTCTGACTCTATAACATCATTAACTTTCTTAGGTTACTCTGTCAAGGGTGAAACTCACAAGTACTTACTTTTTATTAATGATTTTTTTAAGATTTTGCACGATTTAGTTAAATTTGTTAATTTTTCTTTTTAACAAACCGGCCATCCCCCACCAAGATTTACCCTACCTTGTCCATCTTTTCTAAACAACCAAACCATCTCAATGACCCCTATCCTGGTGCTTGACTCTTATTGGGAGCCTGGCCCATGGCTGGGCTCCGAGAATAGTAAGACTCTCGAAACTCATCAAAGGTACATCAAGTGTATCTTTCATACAGCCTAGAATTGATCTTAAACACAACATACACAAACAACCCGCACATAAAAGAGAGAAGCTTACGACGACGTTTCAGTCCGACTTGGACCATTGACAAAGTCACACTAACCAGAGGTGGAGCAGGACGGCTATATATAGGCAGGAAGAGGTGGTAGTAGTAGTAGTAGTAGTACAAGAATTGTATATAATACCGACAAGATGAAATTAAGACACATGCACAACACCCGGGCATCCCCATCGTAGACGTTTCACCATCCAGCCAGCCACTGGATGGTGAAATGTCCACAACAAAGACAACCAGACGCCGCACATGTGTCTTAATTTCATCAGTAGTTGTAGTAGTAGTAGTAGAAGAAGAGGTAGTGTATCGTTCCAGTCACGGTATTGTGCCTTTTTTGTTATTTTTAAACACAACATCTCTACTATTTTTTTTAACACACTGGCTGCCTCCCAACAAAGCAGGGTGACCTGAAAAAGAATCACTCATCATTCACACTTCAGTATCACTATTTATCTATGTGAAATTCAAGATTTCAGCCAAGCATACCTGTAATGGATGTCAGTCTTCTGGACATTGGTAGTACCCTGAAGCCAACCCTTGACATAAACATCACTCATCTTCTCTCCACCCACAAAGCTGGTCTCCTGCAGTGGTGCCTCAAACACATTGTACACCACTATCCGCAGAACGTACCTGAGGGAGGGGAGAGAGAGAAAGTGGTAAAGAAGAAGTATGACAGGAAAGATCTTCCATGATGGAATATAATAGAAAAATCATCTTCTAAGATGGAATATGGCTGAAAAAAACATCCTCCATGATGGAGTATGACAAAAACCATCCTGTATGACAGGGTATAGACAAAGTACATAATTCTGTGTGTATGAATGAAGAATTTACTCTTATCTTTATTTTAGGGATGAAAGTATTCATGACTGGTGGGACACAGGTGAAATGCAACCTTAATAACCCCTCATACAGTCACCAGGCTTTAAAACAAATGAACAACCATAATAAATTTATTAATGTATGGCTGCCACACAGCATTGGAAACATTGCAAGTTCAATGTCTAAACTTACTTGTGTGCTTGGCGGGGTGTAATATCAACTGCTGTGGGTAATGGATCCTTGGTGAATGGGTAGATGTCGACCCAGAGCTTCAGTTGACCTTGCGGCAGGCCTGGATGAGCTGGGTGCATCAGAACCCTGGTCTCGACATGCTCAGGGACGAGAGGCATGGCCTTGTGCAGCACATAGAGAGCCAGCCTCTCTTTAGAATCTCCAACTGTTGGGGGCAGTACACTATCGGGTGGCTCTGGAGATATACAAGTCCCTTTCAGCTTTCTTGTTAATTTTTCCTACATTTATCTCTTATAACTATATTCTAATCCTCTCATTCTTGTACTTATCCTCATGCTCAAACTTCATTCTCTTACTTGCAGTCTCATGCAGAAATGCCATGATGCTGGTGAGGGACTTGATCCAAAGAATTGAAAGTATATAATCTCCCTTTCCTTAAATTGAATCTGATTGTCTCCCATTCTCCTGGTGAGGTAACTGTGGCAGGATTCTCTTAGTGGAAATCTCTGAGTTACTAATTATACATTTAGTTATTATTACATTCGTGTAGCAAGTGATAAACTCGTAGGTATCATACAGTGTCAAGGAAATGGGAGGCAACTGGATTCAATCCAAAGACAAGGACAGTACTAAAAGTTCTAATTCTTTAGATCAAAAGCCCTTCACCTCCACTGGAATCTCCACTGAAGGGTAGTACATTTAGTTAAACATTAGACAAAGGGATCTTGTTACCAAAGTCTGTGAGGGAGTATTGGACTCCAGAAAGGGTGAGGCTGAGAGGCTGGGATTGCCACACAGGTCCTTCCAGGTTCCTCAGATGGGCAGCCTTCTTCAGAATCTCTGTTGGGAGTTCAATGTCTCTCCACTTATTGCCTCCGCTCCTGTGTTTTAGGATAAAAAGTAAATAATATACCAGCAAAACTGGGAACAAATATGAATGAGAAAACATGAAATATCATATATGAATATATTTGAAAAAAAAAAAAAAATTACTGCATGTAGAAAAAAAATCTTTGAATTAGTGTTTTAAGAAATGTTGATATCAGGTTTAATATATTTTTGTCTAATTCTTGTACAACAAATTGAGAAAAATTTAAGATACTGAAAAGGAAGAGTGTTGTGCTGTAGGCAGTGAGAAACACCACGATATGAAGATACAATAACACTGACTTATGACTCATTTTTATGTACTAAGAATAAAGTTTATATTGACATTATGATTCTTTATTACGTGCAACTTCAAGATTATTATTCTTATAAACCTCCGCATCGACTACCTCACATTAGTATTAAGACAAAATGAAGATTTATTAAAAAGTTAACTACTCTTTTCTTGTCTAGACTTAAGCTGTTATTATGTAAGATAAGATAAGATTTCGTTCGGATTTTTAACCCCGGAGGGTTAGCCACCCAGGATAACCCAAGAAAGTCAGTGCGTCATCGAGGACTGTCTAACTTATTTCCATTGGGGTCCTTAATCTTGTCCCCCAGGATGCGACCCACACCAGTCGACTAACACCCAGGTACCTATTTGCTGCTAGGTGAACAGGACAACAGGTGTAAGGAAACTTGTCGAAATGTTTCCACCCGCCGGGAATCGAACCCGGGCCCTCTGTGTGTGAAGCGGGAGCTTTAGCCACCAGGCCACCGGGCCTGTCCGAAATGCCCGGCATGATAGTGGCTTTCTTTGTATTTAACAAATCAAAATTGTAAATTTGCTACTCACACATGATATTGTCGAGGAAGACCAATTGTAGCTCGGTGGCGGGTTAAGTAGCGGTTCTCCAAGTCTATGGTTGTCTCACCAATGAGATCATCTGATGTAATAAGATCACGGTCCCACACCTGCACCAAGAGATCCTTGTGCAGAGGCAATGTTCCAGCAACCTCAAACACTCTAATAAAATTGAAAAAATAAGTTACTGGAAGACTGTAATGTGATTCTTGACATAGTCAAAGTATTAACTGCATTAACTCTAATTACAAATTCTGATTTGCTAGTAAATACTATATATTCATGAATTCATTGTACTGAAATGAATGGATAGCCTTAACAAGTTGATGGAACATAAGGGAAAGCAATGTAGTTTGAATTTTATTTAATTAATCTATTTGTGTACAACAAATCCTCTAGAAGAATCAATTTGACAATAATGGTAACTCTCTCAATAATTCTTTCCTTTTCTGCTCTCTCTTATTCTTTCCTACTTCTCTCTCTCCTCCCCCATTCCACCCAATAATCTTCCTCTTTCTTCCTACTCTTCTTTCCCTAATACTCACTCTCCAAATAGTGGATTGAGGGTATTGGGTCTGTAATTATCTTTGGAGGTCTTCATCATCTTGCCAAGCTTGACTACAATGTAGGGATCAGAGGAGCCCCCAGCATCCTTGGGTGCCAGGTCCTGTCCAAGTACAACATACACCCGAGCTACCACTTCTTGCGGGCTCGGAGAAGGGAATCCATCCAGGATCAGAGGTGGTTCCTCTGAGTCGTCGGGAGATAGTGGGTACACTCGGAAAGTTCCCTGAGATGGAAGAAAGCAAAAGGCTTGTTGATGTATTTGAGCAAACTACATAAATTGTTTGAACTCGCCAACCATCTCTCATTGAGGTAGGGTGATCCCAAAAAGGAAATATTCACCATTACTCATTCAATAGCTGTTTTGTCAGAAGTTTGCAGATATCACAATTAAAATGGCCTTCTGAAATACGGCATTCCCACCTCTCCTTCAGAATGCAGGCACTGTTCTTCCTATCTCTAAGTCCACTCAGTCAGTTTCCCCTGAATCCCTTCACAAATATTAACTTACTCACACTCCAACAGCATGTTAAGAAATAAAAGACCAATCATCTTCACTCACTCCGACCTAAAATTTTTGCACAAGCCTGCTAGATGCTCAAGCCCTCCTGAACCCCCTCCAATTCTTCCTGGGACCAATCATATTTATTCTTTGTTTTGCCCTAGATTTATACATCCTATTCTGCTCCATCCTCAAACCCCATTCTGTCTTTTAATTTTTACACTGAATTTTATGCATAATATTCACATCACATATTACTCTCACACTTGATCTCTCAACTTCCTCCAGCCTCCTCCCTGTTGCAATGTTTAAATCCCATGCCTATCACCCATATAAAAGTGTTTGCACCATTATACCCTGGTATATTCTCCTTTTTTGCCTTCATGGATAAAGCTCTGTCTCCACAAATGCCTCCATACACCACCCACTTTTCCCCTCATCTATACTATGGTTCACTTCATCTTTCACAGACCTATCTGCTGACATTTCTACTCCCAAATGACTGCCATACACTAACCTTAA